GGTGGCTGGCTCGAGCCGTGCCAGGTGCAGGGTCTGCTGGCTGGGTGCTGGCAGGCTTGCACCTGGCACGGGCACCATAGCCAGCCCGTGCTCCTTTAAGGGCTCCGGGGCCGGGAGGGGGGCAATAGAGTTTCCCTGGTGTTGGCCAGAGTGGCCACCAGGGAAAGCTGGGGAGGGCTAGCCTCCCACTAGTTTGAATTAAGGGGCTACATAGCCCTTAATTCGAACTAGTAAATTCGAACTAGGCTTAGTCCTCGTGGAATGAGGTTTACCTAGTTCGAACTAAGCGCTCTGCTAGTTCAAATTAAGTTCGAACTAGCGGAGCGCTAGTGTAGTGCCTATCAAAGTTAATTCGAACTAACGTCCGTTAGTTTGAATTAACTTTGTAGTGTAGACATACCCTAGGAAGGCCCCAGATATATATATATATATATATATGCTAACTTTGGCTTAGCACAACATATAGGAGGTGACTTGTAAGTCCCTTGTGTTACAGCCAAGCTACTTCAAGATAAAACGTATTGTAACCTATTACAATAAACATATAAACAAGGCCATAAGGAAATACGAAAACTATCTATATTTTCTCTAGAATCTATATTCATGATTCTAAGGAATGGTAGAAGGAATAACAGCAAACTAAAGACGATGGATTTCAAGAAGGCAAACCTTAATAAACTCAGGTAACTGGTAGGTACGGTCCCATAGGAAACAAGATTAAGAAGTAAAAACAAATGAAGACATTTGGCAGTTTTTCAAAGGGGCATTATTAAGGGCACAAGACTAAATTATTCTACTGTGTAGAAAAGACAGGAAGTATGACAAGAGACCACCTTGGCTTAACCAGGAGATCTTGAATGATCTAAACATCAAAAAAGAGACCTATAAAAAGTAGAATCTAAGTCAAAATAGAAAGGATGAATATAAACAAAATGACATAAGTATGTAGGGGCAAAATTAGGAAAGTGAAGGCACAATACAAGCTCAAACTAGCTGGAGACATAAAGAGTAGCCAAAAAAAAAAATCTACAAATATATGAGAAGGAAGAGGAAGGACAGGATAGGTCCATTGCTCAATGAAGAGGAAAAACAACAGCAGAAAATGTGAAAATGTCAGAGTTGCTTAACAACTTCTTTGAGTCAGTTTTCACCAAGAAGGCTGGGATGCCTACACTAGCAAATGCTGGAGAAAAAGGAGGTAAATTAATTCAGAAGTTAAAATAGGAAAAGAACAAATTAAAAATTACTTTGAAAAGTTAGACTTCTTCATGTCACCAGGGCCTCATGAAATGCATTCTAGATAACACAAGGAGCAGACTGAGAAGGTATCTGAGCCATTAGCTATCATCTTTGAAAAGTCATGGAAGTCCAGAAAACTGGAAGGCTAATATAGTGCCCATCCATAAAAGGGAAATAAGGACAAACCAGAAAACTACAAGCTAGTCAGTTTAACTTCTGTGCCAGAGAAGATACTGGAGCAAATAACTAAGGAATCCATTTGCAAATATCCATTTGGAAGAAAATAAGGTGATAAATAACAGCCAGTATGGATTTGTACAGAACAAATCATGTCAAACCATGTCAATCTGACAGTGTTCTTTGATAGAATAACAAGCCTTACAGATAGGGGGCAAGCAGTAGACGTGGTATACCTAGACTTGAGTAAGCATTTGAGATAGGAAGGTCATGACCTTCCTATCAATAAATTAGGGAAATACAACCTAATATAAAGTGGGTGCAGGGGTGAAAATAACTTAAATTTCTTACTGTCCTATCGCAACCCGTCCCCCCTTTGGGAGGGGCATGAATATTCTTAGGAGGCTTTTTCCCCCACTTACTTTCTACTGCAAATTACGCACCTAACATGACAGACTCACCTAAAAAGGTTGAGGGAGGTTGTCCCAATCTCTGTTTAAACACTGAACATAAAACTGCTTCACTTCCGCAAGGAGAGCCACTTTTACCATCTATCTGAGTGAGGCCCAGACAGTACGGTGACATCACATCAGACCAGAAATGAACTTACGACACTTGACAAGAAGTCAAAGAAGTAAAAACTGAAACGTGAAGGGGATTTGTAAAGTAAAATATTGTGAATGTAAAATAGATGTAATTAAAGCAATATCTCTGATTTTCTGTTAATTAATGCAGTTTTATTCCTATTGGAGTGTGCGTGGGTATGGAGAGGCTCAGGGCAGGCGTCTTATGTCTATTCAACCTGAGCATCATCCAGGCACTATGGAATCAAGCCTGACTGGGAGGAGAAACCTGAAATAAAAAGGCAAGTTCTTACTGCCTGCCTGTGCAAAAGGGGTTTTGTATTGGGGAGAAATGTAATCTGCGTACAGCAGAATATTCAGAAAGCCCTACAACCATTTTTGAAAATAAAATAAAAATGGCACATGCAAACACTTGCTGGGAGTGAAGTGGAAGTTAGGGAACAGAGGAACATGTATGGGAGGGGTTAAGGCTGCAGTGAGGGAAGGAGGATAAATGGGGAGGAGACAGAAGGGAAGGGAGAACAGTTGTGGACTTAGGTTAGGGAAGGGAAACATGGAGGTCAGACGGGGGAAACATAGGATCAGATGGATTTGTCAGCCTCACATCCTACCTAGCTGGTGTCCCCTGGGGAGGAGAGCATGGGACGGGCCTTATCTGGCCACAAGGGGGTTAAAGGCTGTCTGTGTGGGGGCACTGCTAAAGGGAAAACAGTAGCAGTGAGACAGACCCTCTGTAAATAGCTCCCCGGCTCTTTAAATAGCACCCCAGCTGGCTCTTGCTGGAGGGGCATACCCCCTTATTTTCACCTCTGGATGGGTGCATAATGGGGATGTAATAGTATAACCACTTATATGGTAACCTGGTCTTATCAGTTACCATGAACGGTTACATGAAGGCTTCCGCCCCACTCCCAGGGAGCCAGCTGCAGCCCTGTGCTGCTGTCTCTGGTACTGAGGCAGCAGAGTGGGGGGGGGGGGGGGCATTAGGCGCATTACACAGTTACATGGTTACCCAATTATTCGCTTTTTAACATCCCTAGTGCATAACTAGTGGGATAACCATGCTCAGAGAGTAGCTAGCAATGGTTCACAGTCATGCTGGAAGCGCATAACAAGTGGGATTCTACAGGGATCAGTTTTGGGACTGGTTCTGTTTAATTAATCTTCATCAACAACTTAGATAATGGCTGAGAGAACATGCTTATAAAGTCTGAGAGGGGTTGTGAGTACTTTGGAGGATAGGGTCATAATTCAAAATGATCTGGATAAACTGGAGAAATGGTCTGAGGTAAATAGGGTAAAGTTCAATAGTCATGAATAGACATTATGCCACTTAAAGAGGAACAGCCAGTTTCACATATTCAAAACGAGAAGTGACTGCCTAGAAAAGAGTACTGCAGAAAGGAATCTAGGAGTCAGAGTGGAACACAAATTATATGTGAGTCAACAGTGTGATGCTGTTGCAAAAAAGCAAACATGATTCTGCATTGCATTAACACGAGTGCTGTAAGCGAGAAACGAGGAGTAATTCTTCCACTCTACTCAGTGCTGATTAGGCCTTAGCTGTAGTACTGTATCCAGTCCTGGGCACCACATTTCAGAAAAGATGTGGACAAATTGGAGAAGATCTGGAGAACAACAACAAAACTGATTAAAAGTCTAGAAAACATGACCTATGAGGAAAGACTGAAAGAACTGATTGCTTCAGTCTGGAAAAGAGAAGACTGAGAGAGGGGATATGATAGCAGCTTGCAAGTACCTAAAAGGATGTTACAAGGAGGAGGCAGAAAAATTATTCTCCTTAACCTCTGATGATAGGACAAGAAGCAATGGTCTTAAGTTGCAGCAAGGGAGGTTTAGGTTGGACATTAGGGAAAACTTTCTACCTGTCAGGGTGGTTAAACACTGGAATAAATTGCCTAGGGAGGTTGTGGAATCTCCATCTCTGGAGATATTTAAGAGTAGGTTAGATAAATGCCTGTCAAGGATGATAGATGGTGCTTGGTTCTGCCATGGGAGCAGGGGACTGGACCTGATATCCTCTCAATGTCTCTTCCAGTTCTAGTATTCTATGATTTATAGGTAAGCAAGCAGGTTAGTCCTATGGGCTATAGTTCACAGGAATACATATTGGTAACAAGAACAGCAACTTAATTAATTCTAAGTAATGGTAAAAGACTTGATCTAAACACCCCAGATTCAGCCCTGCTATAACTTCACAGACTGCAGTGGAATTGCACCTGCTTACACCAGGGATGAGCCTGACCTAGCAATTGGAAAGCACTGTACTGGAGACCATGGAAGTTGATGTCTTGAAGGGGAACAGGATGAAGTGTTTTAAAACATTTTGGCTTTTCACAACTATTATGGAGCCTGAGTTTCAAAGACATAAAAACGGTGTATTTCAGGGAACCCCCCACCCCCATAAAACCTGACAACAAAGGCAAACCTGTGAGGGAAAACCCTTAAAACATATTCTCTCAGTTCAGATTTAAACTCAAATATATACAATCACCTGCCCATAGGGATATTTACTGAAGGGATTAATTTGGTGAAGGCAGATTATTCTATTCCGATGATGTAAGAAATGTATTGCAGGTTGCAACTTGCATCTTTTGTGGGTAGAGAATATCTCCGGGGGAGAAGACAACAATGGATGTTTTTATTCACAGTTTCTCTCTTTTACGAGGAGCCATGAGGTATATTTCTGCTCACTATACCTTTATAAATGACAAGATTTCACTCTCACTTGCTCCAGTGTAAATCAGGACTTATTCTGCTGTAGGCACTGGAGTTATTCCTGATTTACAACTGTGTCAATGAAAGTAGAATTTGGCTGAACATTTTCATTTCCATGAAACTTTGAAAAACTAAATAGCTTGAACATCACTACTGGGCACATCCCATCAGCCTATCAACATATATAGTTTCTCATTTAAATTAAAATGTGGCACTGAATGTACACTTCTCTTGGAATCTGATGCAGCACTTAATTCTAAACTCTTTATAACTTATTGGTTACGTGGTTGCTATTAGAATTGTATTAAGGGCTGATATTCAAACAAAAGGTATCTAAATACACAGACTCTGTAGCTAATTCTGAGCAGGGCTTTACAATCAAGAGACATTAAATTCATTGCCTACAACTCCTCCTCTTCCAGCCTGTGAATCATCTCATGTCACCATGATAATTAAGCCTCAAAATATAGTTATTTACTTATCAAATATGTGTTTATCTTCTGTGATCATGGCTATATTAGTTGTGCTGGGACTTGTGCTGGCAGTGGTGCTGGGACTGGTGCTGGCAGTGGTGCTGGCAGTGGTCATGATGGGTGGTGGCGATGGTGCTAGAAGTGAATACAAAAAGTATTAATACGTGTTCTTTCTTAAAATAAGTTTTCCTTCTGTCACAGTGTTTTCAGTCTTGGGATCTGTTCTGCTCAGAGGCCCATGACCCACTAGGGAACTATGAATGCGGGAGAGTGAGAAAATGTTCTTAAAAAGATGTTAAAAGTTCCTTAATTGGAATTAGAATGAAATGGCCGTGGAGGAGAGCAGGGCTATGGTAACGCATGCTAGGAGATGTACACAGCAACTTTATTGCTGCTGCCCAATGGCGACTAAAAATGCCTCACAAAGGGGAGATGAGTCTAGTGGGCCCCATATTATCATTGGTTACACTAATGCAGCTCTGCCAGAATCTTAGGACCGCGCTAGACCAGTGTAACTGAGAACCGAGTTTGGTTCATTCGGCCCACCCCTCAAGATGTAGTTACCTGCTTGCTCATTGCTTTTTGAGCCCCAACTTCCCATTCTTTCTTCTGGTAACTAAGGACAAAAAAATACATATGGACTGTTCAGAAAACTCTTCGGTCTGGTCCAAGTCTCTGATTTCTAAGTTCTTTAGATTGTCTCAATGTATTCCAAAGTCTGATTCATGGAGACCAGGAGCGTGTAGGTTATTATTATAATGAATACAGTTTGAACCTCCTAAATCCAGGACTCTCCGGGCTGGTAACACAGATGTTGGTGAACCAAAGATTCCTGGTGCCTGGGAGCAGGAGATGGCCACAAGTCCCAGCAGCAGAGGGCCACATACTAGTCCCCAGAGGAGCCCCAGCCTGGTGAGCAGAAGCAGGGCTAACAGGAGTCCCAGCTCAAAGGACCCCTAGCTGGGTGGGGCAGGAGTGGCCATGGAACCTTGGCAAGGCTGATGATAGCAGGGGCGGCAGGCTGGGAGGCTGGTTGTAGGGACCCCCTCCGGTCTGGCAAATTCCCTCTCTCAGGACCCATCAGGTCCCAACAGTGCTAGACTAGGGCCATCCAACCTGTATGTTTACATTGGAAACTAAGAATCTGGGTTTAAACAGCCCCGCACTCTAGGTCCACTCTAATTTGTACTTCTCTTGAGACTCCAAAGAACTCAACATGCATGATCGATTAAGCCCCACACTATCCTTGTGAGTTTAAATATTATCTACATTTCAGTGTCTACATGAGGTATAGCAAACATGAGGGTGAAGAATCAGCTCCAATAACACTGGCAGCAAGCTGGGGCAGAGTGCAGAGCATAACTTGTAACTCACTTAAAATTGGTAGTTAAACTGGTTTTGGTCTTCAATCAAAATTAATTCAGTGTTGTGAATTGTTTGGGTAACTCCAGAGAGGAGCAACAGACAGCACAGGACTAGACAGTCGCGGAAAGGGATAGCTAGTACAGGACACAGGTTGAAGGAAAATCTGGGACTGAGAATTTGTCATCACCCTGAAAAAAAAAAAAGTAACTAAGGCTGCTAGACAAGAGCATGGATTGTAGCTGCTGTCAAGTTGTTGCGGTCAAAACTACTGGACTAGTATAATGGCTTTACACCAGTGTTTCCAAATATTAATTTTATCGATTTACTTATTTGGCCACGGAACCCTTTTAAACTTGAAAGAATTTTACAGAATCCCTAAATAAGTCTTATATATGCAGCTGAAAAAGTAGACCACAAATAAGTAAGGAAAATAAACAAATGCTTGAATTACTTGCATTTTTCTTTAAAGTTTCTTCTTTTAGCCAATGATTGATGGGGAACTTTGGTATCAATTAAAATTCTAGGTGTAGAGACTATTAACTTATCATATTATCGACCTAAGTACTATATATTGTAGATGTAGATTAATTTATCAGTCAATGTATTTGTCAGTTACATTTTTAAAACAAGCAATCACACAAATATACTGAAGTATTCGCGAGAGCTCTGCCTGCACACTCCCACACAAGCAACTAGTTTGACAGCTGAAGCTTCAACTTTGCCTGACTTTGCTCGTATAGTCGTAGTCAGTGGCCCACACTTTGCAGAAGCCCAGGGCTCCACAGAACACCATTTGGGAAACACTGGGCTACATAGACACTCAGTGTGTGGCCTATATGCTGGCAGGCTCTTGTGAGGAATCGAAGCCGCAAGCAACAGCAGTGAAGCGTTATGAGCTCCTAAGGACGCAGGCCATACTCAGTATATTTTTCCATGCTTAACATGAACAGTATTTATAGCTAAAAGATGCTAACTAAAGTAAATCCTGTTTCAATAAAGGGAAACAGCTATCTTATAACACACGCTTCTGCATGAAAATTTGTATCAACTTTGCAGCTGCACTGAATACAACTCAGAGGTTAGGAAAAATATATATTTTTTTCTTCTTAGTTTTTGTCATGCATTTGACAGCACTTAATGTTTCCTCTGTCTAATCAGTTAGTCTTCTATTGTTTGCGTTAGTCTTCACACAATCAACAAAGGCAGAGGAAAAAGTATTCCTTTGAAATTTCAGAACGCATGAAAATGCCCAAAGATCTGAAAACACTGATTAATTGAAAAGAAAATTTTACTGTCCAGGTTTCTTAGAATAAATGTGACCCATTTCTTTTTTACCAGAAACAAAAACCAGGACTATGTAGCACTTTAAAGACTAACAAGATGGTTTATTAGGTGATGAGCTTTCGTGGGCCAGACCCACTTCCTCAGATCAAATTGTGGAAGAAAATAGGCATGACCATATATACCAAAGGGATACAATTAAAAAAAAAAAAAAGCAATAAAATCTGATTTGTCAAATGTATGTGTTCACTTTTTTTTTATTGTAACCCTTTAATATGTATGGTTGAGCTAATGATATTAGAGGTGATAATTGGGGAAGCTATCTTTGTAATGGGTAAGATAATTAGTGTCTTTGTTAAGACAATCACCTAAGCTCAAGGATAGCTTCCCCAATTATCACCTCTAATACCATTAGCTCACAGACATCTATCTTTCCCCACCTCTAATATCATTAACTCACAGACATTCACCTTCCTTCCCCCTTCTCTCACCCTTCTGTTCTGAAATGTGATTTGTCCTTTTCATATGTGTTCATTTTTTTTTAATTGTATCTTTTGGCATATATGCTTGTGACTATTTTCTTCCACTATTTGATCAGAGGAAGTGGGTCTGGCCCAACCAATCATAACATACTGTACCAGAATTACCTAACCAATCATACCCCACCACCTTAGTTGATTTACACATAGCAAAATTAATTATACAGCAGACAGAAACAATTAAAAACCAAAAAACAGGTCCCCAAACCCCGTTGGCAGCTTTGTCCACATATTGACTCTGCTGACACCATTATTGGACCTAACCAATTCAGTTATAAGATCAAGAAAACATATTCCTGCTCATCCAGAAATATAATTTGTCATCATGTGCCGACAGTGTCCGTCTGTTTTGTACATTGGACGAACGTCTCAGACACTTCGCCAAAGAATCAATGCACACAAAACGGATATCAGACAGTATCACAAAGAAAAAACAGTTTCTTGCCATTTCAACCAGAAAGGACATTGTTTCAACGACTTGATTACCTGCATACTGCTTCAAAGACATTTTAACACCAGACTTGAAAGAGAAACCTCTGAACTGTCATTCATGCTTAAATTTGACACTTTACACCAGGTCTTAAAGACACTAGTTATCTTACCTATTACAAAGATAGCTTCCCCAGTTATCACCTCTAATATCATTAGCTCACAGACATTTACCTTGCCCCCTCCATTCTGAAATTTGATTTGCCCTTTTTATGTGGGTTTGCTTTTTTTTAAATTGTATCCCTTTGTTATATATGGTCATAACTATTTTCTTCCACAATTTGATCTGAGGAAGTGGGTCTGGCCCACAAAAGCTCATCATCTAATACACCATCTTGTTAGTCTTTAAAGTGCTACACAGTTCTGTTTTTTGTTTTAGTTAGACTAGACTAACACAGCTACACCCCTATTACTATTCTTTTTTTACCAGTAATGTATCAAAATTTAAATACAATTAAGTAACTACATCTTACCTCCCTCAATAAAATTGTTACCCACTGGATGCAAGGAAAATGTTCCAAAGCTTTAGTAGGTACAGGTATTCTTTTTCTTTTTTCAAAGCAGATCAGTCACAGAGGTATTTTTGTATCTTTACAACGGTTCAGATGTTGAAACAAAGAGAGGCAGCTGCTGTCCTGGGAGGAGTAGTCTTTTGCCACGTGCATGAGGAAGTTTAGTCATTCAAATTTCATAATACAAGAAACCACTGTGCTAAAAAGTATTCCTTTTCTTTTACGTAAACAAGACGGATTATTAAGCAAACAGGTTTTAAATCAAGTGTCATCTACCTAACTCACAGTATTTGTTCAAACAAAAAAGCATTTTAAATTCTGATTTACTTTTTATTATGAGCGAGTTGAACAGAAGAGAATGGTTTGGTTTTGCAAATCTTACAAATTTCTCTCTCAAGTTTTTTTAAATACATGGTGATTCAATTTTTACAGAACCTGTCTTAAGTTTTCAGAAATTGAAAACGTGAACTAAAATTTTTTACTGGCTCCATTTCCCTTCAGATCTCATCCCTTTCCAGCACAGCATTTAAAAAGGATAGTCCTTACTGCTTCAAAAGGAAGTAACTTGTGAATTACTTCCCAAAGTAATGTGAATTGCTGAGTACGAATGAGATTTCTCAAGAGTTTTGCTCAGCTGGGACTGGCTTTAGGGCTAAGCCTTTACCCTGGAAAAGATCAGTCAACGGAATGCGCTGTATGTTCAGTTTTAAATGAGAATGCTCCTTCTACTTGCTCCTTTCAAATTTCCAATCAGTGAAACATTCAAATCAACAAATGGATCACAGAGTGTATTCAAACAGAGGCCAAGTGATTTACCTAGCGATATTCAACGTTTATACCAGCGGTTTAACTTTCAACTTGGCATGCAGCTGTTGTGCTTGGATTCTCAATATTTAGGGTCCATTTATATCCCCATAAAACTATTTTCATATTGCAGAAATTTAAAAAATAGTCAAAGTTGGGCTTATGTCATCACGACTCATTATTTGTGCACATATTGCTTTAGCACAACTGGTGGAATGGAGAGAAAGTAGGGTAGAACATGGAATGAGAGCAGTCGTTTCCATTTGTTTGGAAGTATAAGCTATTTCACTCCTGTTTGCAAAGCGCTTTTTGCCTTACAAAACTATATCCAGACATTCTAGTCAGTTCTGTAGTAAAAGCTGACTGACGGAGGAAAACAAGTGTCAGGACAGTGTGTAGTAAGTGTCATCTCTATTACAGAATGTATTCAGGAAATAAACATTATAATTCAGCTTGGAACTGCAGAGAGAAGTAAATTGCATTTCCTTGAGTTTTAAAGAAAGGGAACAATCACATCCCTGTTTCTATAAGAGAACCATCTGTTAATCTAGAAAACAGGGCTATGGTGTTAGAAATGCACAACTGAGAGCATCAGTCTCCCTCAAGATCCACAGGAAAACTCAGAGTTTGAACCTGCACTTGAAAAGCAACACAAGCATTCACTTAATTCATAGACTGGACGAACCGTTTCCATTTAAGGGAATAAGTTGCTCCATAACAAAAATCTGCCATTTCGTGCTTTGAAATGTGGTCTATGGTCTAAGAGCAGGACTTGACCATGGGAACTTAAGCTTACGAGGCAAGCCATGTGATGACTGATGACCATGTACTTAAGTACTGTTCATGGTTGGAAGGCAGAGAGCAGAATGTGATGTGCCAAAATACCCGGAAGTTTTCTGTTTAGTTTCCCCCGGAAACTGAGGACAGTGTTAGAAATACAGAATAGCTCATAAAAAGGTGGGAGGGAAGAACTCTCTTCCCCAGTTCTCTGCCTCCAGAACAAGAGGAACATAACATACCATGCATGGTATGTCTCCCTTCTCTCTTCCCACCAGAACCAAATAAACCAACACCACTCATTTGGATTGCTGTCTGTGTCCATGTACTTATTGTTAACTGTTCTTTGTTCATATTACTCAATGATATCCAACTGGTTTACTACCCATGCCTCACTTCCCCCGTTCCCCATATACTTATTTTATAGAAGAGGAAACTAAGGCAGACAGAAGAAGCGTCTTGCCTAAATATACAGCATGTCAGTAGCAAAGCCAATCAAAAATATATGGAATGTTTGGCTTTAACAAAGGAAGAGTTGTGTTTTTATTCATTGGCAGAATCCTAATTCCTGCTTAAAAACAAACTGGTACAAATACATAGGTACCTGGTCACACATCAGAATTCACTGTCATAAACACAGCCTGGACGGCTGCTAGTTTAGTGCTACTTCTGAGACAAGGAGAGTACAGAAGTGATTTTAATTGAGAGTTACAGATGTACAGTTTCCAACAGCAGATCACAGAAGCCACACAAAGCTGACTGAAATTCAATGCTGCAGTGTTATGCTGCCATCTGTGTGCTCTTCGATAACATCTTCAAATCTGAGATGCACTTGGCAATGCTCTCCTTCTCCTGCAAAAGGAAATGAAGAGACTTTTCATTCACAGACTTGAAACAATTCTGGGAAAAGAATCATTCACATGAACCATTTGTGCACACCAGCCATCTTTAGACTCGAGTGGGTAAAAACTAAAGCCAGGGGTTGAATGGGTGCAGTTCCAACTTACAGATGGCTTTGCAAATTATAAATCATACAAGAAAGCAAGGGAGATGGAAATCCCCAAATATTAGCCTATCTTCAAGCATTAGCAAGTAATGATCTAGATGACTAAGATCTGATCTTACAAAAAAAACTAGTGTCATGTCTAAGTGTCGGGTCAACCAATCTCAAGGAACAGTAAGCTCAGGGAAAAGTAGCTCCTTTGAAGGGCACAAGACAGGTTCATGCTATTAATTGTTTTCACCTCCCCATAAGAGACAGCCCATTGAAACATCATGTGCTGAATTGGAGTTACCGGGCCTGATTTTTAGAGGAAATCAGCAACCACAACTTCAAACCAAATTGGGAAAGGGATTTCATTGGTTTTGCTCAGAGAAGAAGGAACGTGCCTAAGGTGCAGTCAGAGGAGTGTCATCCAAAGAAATACTCATTGAGGAAAGCCATCTTCTGTATTAGGGCACTGGGGTTCAGCGAACTTCTGGGGCTCAGAAGCTAGAAGTACCTGTTGGGGAGTGATGCTCTGGACAACATTCTTCTCTATCCAGCTGATCATGTGCTCTTGTTCCTTACGACGTGTCAGTTGCTGTACAGCGATCTGATAGTCCAGCCGCTTCTTCACTTCATTGTATACAGTGAGCAGCCTCTCTCGGTAGCTAGTCTCTAGCACCATAGCAACGTTATTCTAGTTAGAGAAAAGATACACTTCAGTTTTCCATTCTGACTGTTCTGATATACTTCACTGGTAATCTTGTATTTCATAATATACCCACACGTTGCCTTATGAAGGAATCTAAAATATTTCACAGATAAAAGGCACAGAGAAGTTAAATGACACCCCAAGGACTCAGACAGAAACTGAACCCAAGAATCCAAACTCAGTCCCCTGCTCTTATGAGAGAAGAGTGCCTCTAAAAAGTGAAAGTCCCCTTAAATGTCTTTTGTCCATTCGCCTTCTCCAGGCAGTCCCAGTCCATACCATGGCCATCAGTCCACCCTCCCTCTGCCCTTCAGCCCATTTCAGTATCCCATTACCCCCAGCTTCTTGTCCTAATTGTTCCTCTGTACTGTAGCACCCCATCTGATCTGTCACCACACCCTCTTCGCCAACCACCACTCCACTCAATATATACCCCTTCAGGTCTGGCTTGTCTCTTCTTTATTCAAATCAAGCACCTTCCTCTTCCATGATTCCTGGGCCCAGAAGGACAGTACAAGATAGTCTCCCTAATTTCAGCTTAGGAGTTCAGACCCAACCCTGCCACAGCTGTCCAAAACTAATTGCCAGGGAAGTTCTGCTCAGCTAGCTCTGCGCTACAGCATGAATGGAGCCTCTGAGAAATTTAGTAGCTAAGCGAAGAAGTCTCTGTTGGCCATGTATCATAGTATGGACAAATCTGGGCAGGGTCACAGACTGCAAAAGGAACATCCTCAAGACAGAAGCTTCCCACTATGGATGAAAGGTTAACCGATAAGCATTGCCCTTAACAGGTGATGCTTACGGGTTCTGGTTAACTGGAGGGGGCTGGAGCAGCTCTCTACCCACTGTGGGCAGGGATTGGCTGCTTCAACTCCACCTGGCCTGCTGAGGACAGAGGTTACCATAGCCCACCCCTTCAAAAAAAACACTCCACCTTTAATTGGTTAGCTGGTTAAACTACTCTCCAGCCTGCGGGTTCCAGAAATTCTGAAATGAAAGGTCACCAGAATGTTTTAACCAGGGATGTAAAGTTCCATTTAATGAGTTAATCTGTAACTGAATAAAAGGCAGCAGGCAGAGACTGCTCCAGCTTTACAGAGCTGCTGGCTCCCAGCCCATGTGGGCAATTACCCATTGAGGGTGATGTATGCCTAGTTTTAACAATATCTTTTTCTTAGCTTCCTTCCCAGAGAAATGGCTAAATCATTTTCAGGGAAGCGTCTTCCAAAACCAAAATAAAACCAAATCAAACAGCCTACAGCAGCCACCAAAAATGGAAAAATAAAAGCCTGAATAATTTTGGTAAAGTTATATGCAACTGAAAATTGGGTCTTACAATGGGAACGGTCATACAACTTAATACCCTATTATGTGCCTCACCTAATGTACAGATGATTAATGTTTCTGCTTTTTAAGTACGGAGACATACTGATTCTGTCGTCATGAGAGCTACATATACGTAAAAAGATACATCTGTACACAGCTTTATTAATAATAATGTACCCGCTTGGCATCAAAGAGATAACCACGGCCTTCAACCCTCCATTGCTCCTTCTTTTCCTGTTCAATTATTGACTCCAGTTGGTTGATTGAATTATTTTTCGCAGCTAAAGCTTTGGCAACTTTCTCCTGAAATAAAAAGGAACTTTAAAATCCAGACTAAGAAGAGAGAAAAGGAAAAGTCAACTGTTCATTTGATTGTTCAAACCTGCATCCTCTCCTTAAACTGTAACTTACCAGGTCTGATGCTGACAAGGGGCAGGCAAGAACAGTAACTGCCATTCAAATTGCTAGATTTAAAGCTTAAGCTTGGTCTACACTAGGGATATAAGCAACTAGTCAAGTGACTACTGCTCCCCGTCCCGAGGGGGGAGGGGGAAGCAAGAACCAGTGCTGGGGGAGAGCTAGCTTAAAAGCTGGTTCCCCTCAACTCCACTTCCACAGTGAAGAGGAGAGGGAGGGCAGAGGAGGCAGAGCTGCAGCAGTCCCAGAGCCAGCTTGAGCCAGGACTGCTCAGTGTTGGTTTGCACTGGCCCAAGGAGCTAACTCTGCTGTGTCTCCGCACTTTATACATAGTAAGAGCCCAGCAGCTCTTACTACATTTAACATGCAGAGCTGCAAAAGTGCAAGCGAACACCCCCACCTTGTCGGGGCCACAGCTTAAGTGAGGTTGCATAAATATGCAAATATCTTTTCACACTGACCGGCATGAATACAAAGCTTCAGCCACGGCGCCCAACCCACATGTGGGCAGTGGGAGCCAATCAGCACCTCTCAGGCTCTGCCCACAAGGCTAAGCAGCCAGCACTTCCCACAATACCCTGGTGCTCCCAGCACCTCCTCCATGGGGGCTAGAAACGCTGATACCCTGAACCCGTCTGTTCCAGACAGCCCATCCTCTTGCGTCTTTCAATGCTCACCCTGCCTGGGAGACACCTTGCCATTGTGGAGCGTGTTCCCAGTGGTGGCCATGTTCAAAGGATCCCACCCATGGGCCGCGTGTTGAGTAGCCCTGGTGTATACCATGTTACTAAATACGCTTTATAAAAATCTTGTACCAGTATAAGTCAAGTCTAAAATTGCCTTTCACTTAGACAAAGACTTGGTCGAGATACCAGCAAAACCTTTCTAGCATAAAAGGCCTTTGCAGAAAAGAGCCAAGGAACACACAAGAGTACAGATCTAACAAAGCATGCCCCCAAAATAGGAAAAATAAGTCAATGAGGTTTCTAAATTCAGACTAAATGTCTCTTTTTCATTCTGAAATAGTTGTAACAAAGCCACAAATGCCTTGGCTTCACACTGCACCCACATGGCATTGTTATTTCTAAAATCCCACATCAACCAAGAAGCATACACATTTCAAAGTTGGAGGCTTATGCTCCCAAGCATCCAAGTCACTGCTGCAAATGAGACCTAAGATACTTTTGAAAAATTTTACTCAAATTCTACATATATCCTTTTCTTCAGGGTTAATAGCCTAGAAGTCAAAAGATCAGAGCACTCAGTTACAAGCGAGTCACTATTGTACAACAATTCTACATTAAACCTATCCATGAGTTCAGGTTAAGTTGTCTTCCCTAAGGTTTATTTGGCACACATCACCTATTGTTAAAAGCCTACATGGCAGTTCACACAGTATAAAGGGAACTAGCAATGAAAAAGCCATTACTTTTCTTCAATATTAGAAGAACTGATGAACTTTTTAAAAAAAGTGCCCTTAAACTTTTTATTTACAGATGGATTTGAACACCTGGAACTGTTGCGCTGACAGTCAGCATAAAGTCAGATTATGTTCTTTTCTTACCTCATTGAGCTTATCAGCAAAAGCTGCTACATCAGCCCCATATTTTTTAACTGCATAGATGAGGATTCCCACTATGAAGGCACCAGCAACTGTTTCATGGTTGACTACATAGATTTCCTTGGAGAGAAGGTAGAACAGGAGCCCAGTCCCCAACATATAGGGTCCTAAATTACATAAAAAGATACAGTTTTAAAAATACCGCTTGAAGACAGTACCCTATAGACTAACTGAATAGTCTGTTAGTCAATACTTAACATCCTTATCTCACACCATTCCCTAGAAATACAATGCCATATGAAGACTTCTATCACCAGATGTGGAAGTGACTGTGGAACACTTAATATGCAATCTGTAACCTCTGGTATCCTCTCAGAATAGGGCATTAACCTCCAAATTTAGTGGTTACTGTAAACCAACAGCTGCAAAAACTGTTCCAATGACAAACACTTAAGACTTATCTTTTATCAAAAGCTGAAATCTAAGATACTTTGCTATTTACTTCCCAAATTTCAAAGGTGTTGGCAGGTCTCTATCCCACAGGGAAACTTAGCACCATGCTGGGGATGTTAAATTTCAATTAATCAACTAATCAAGTAGCTGATGGAATTTCCATCCACTACTTGGTTAGTCAATAAGGAGAGCACTCTCTATCCTGTTGTGCCTCTCCCTTGGAAATGTACAGGATTTGCAGGTGGTTCTTGCACATTTCAAAGGGAGAGGAGCAGAAGTGAGGACCAGTTTCACTCCCTGCTTGCGCTGTTTCCCCTGCTTCCTGTGGAGAAAATGCTGTTCCCCCCTTGCTGCCTTTCTCTGACATCCCTACCTCATGCGGCATCAAATTAGTACAATATGTATTTTACATAATGATTTTACGTAACTGGTATAATATTTTAAATATGGTATGTTCTTTCCCATCACAAAAGCAAATTCAATACCTAAATGAATGTTACACTACTGGCACCAGTAAAACCTAAACATTTCAGACACTGCCTTAGCAAGTGTGCAGCACCACGGAATCACAATCAAATCCACAACGATACCTGTAACTCCAGTTTTAGGATAAAGGAACTGGAAAAATTCTTCCGGGATCAACCCATGACGAACTTGCCCTCCTTTCTCAGGGAGAGGTGGTAAAGGAGCCAAACAGTGCTGACCTGTGTGGAACGGTCTAGATGCATGCAATACACTGCAAGGAAAAAAGGACTCTGTGAAATGTTTTCCTTTCCAAAAACAGCAACCACCACCACCACCAAAAAAAGTCTCTAATTAAATTAAGACAGTTGTTCTTAGATGAGGTCCCCAAACATCTTCTCAGTGATATAGAAATCAAAACTGTATACTAATGATAGATTCTAAATGTTTAAAAAACAGAATTAGATAAACTCATGGAAGATAGGTCTATCACAGAAATGGGCAAAGCAGATGCCTCACTTGTTTACCTGTTCTGTGCATTCCTTCTGAGGTACCTGGCACTGGCCACTGTCTTTAGATGGACCTTTGGTCTGATCTAGTCACATCCATTCTTATATCAAACATTCAAAATGGACTTTGGTTAATGCACATCCAAATGTGTCCTCGGTAAACACACTTATTTATTTGTATAGATTGGGTAAAATATACCCAGTTTCAGATAAGCAAATAGGCACACATTTAGATTGTGCACACATAGAAAAAAGGAGACCTTCACAATCTTGTCTGAAGATTAACAGCAGAGATTCCTTACAATGAAAAGTGTAGCAAATCAATATTTCTACAAAGAACACTTTTCATTTCTTTAATTTTCAAGTGAAGGATCCCAAAACTCTTTACAAACACATTATAGATGCACAAATGAAAAAAAAGCACCCACCTTTTACCTCAATGTAAGAGGTAAAAAGACAGAGAAATTAAATATCTTGGCCAAGATCAAACACATGCATCCGAACCTCTAGAACCCCATTAAAAAGGGTAATAGGATACTAACTGAGTATTGCCAAAGTAGGAAGGATAACAACACTCAAATAGCTGTGCAGAAGTAGCACAAAATAGTAAGACCTGATTAATACAAAGTTGCATCACTGAAACTCATTCTGTCATTGTATACCAATTAAGCTAACCTAACTCCATTGAGCATTATGAAATGAAATAACTGTATTAACGTATACTGTACTGGTTACTTAGATAGCCACAAGCTATCTAAACCAACGTAACCAGGTTGCAAATGACCTCTTCTATAAAGAGGTCTGAAGATTGACAGACATGCCTGTATTTGAACAGCTAGAAGAGTGTATACACACATCCCTTTATTCAAGTTGGCACAGCAGTTAAACCAGCACAACCTCAGTGCGGAAGGAAAAGCACAAGAATTCACCGGAAGCGACTGTCGTGGAGTTGCAAGG